TTCAGGTGGTTTTCATTATGAAAACATGACTATGATATTATATTCTTATTTCTGCAATAGATCTTCCTAAATGTGTCACACTGGACTTTTAAAAACTGTTATAATCAGTATTTATGTATGTATGATGAATTTACTCTCCAGACAAAATACAACTTGCCCTCATGGTGTGATCGTGTCCTGCGGAAGTCATACCCTCTGGTTCATGTTGTCTGCCAAGCATATGGTGAGTAATTCCCCTCGAAAATGTAGATTTCCCAAGAAGGTTTCTACAAAGAACTGTGCAGAACCAAACAGGAACTAGGTAGCTGCTGAACATGCAAAAAGTATGGACCTTTGTCTACAGGCAAGCATACAATTCAACCAATATGCAAAGTTTCCAATAATAAATGTACTATAATAAATGTTTCCTTGGGTTTGAATGGAACTTTTCTTTCAAGGAAATCCATATTAGTAGTACCATGGAAAATAAATACTAACTAGTGTTTTCACATAATGTTTCTAAAGGGGCACTCCAGTTTTACACATCAAGTTCAGTTTGCTTGTCATGAAGAGCACAACTTAAGCTGTGAAAACATTTGTATCATAATATATAATAGCTTTCTTAAGTAAAATGTCACTAGGTTATCTCGAATTGGGCTCAAGACTTTTTAACAGACAGTGGAGGCTTGGGATGTGGAGTTTGAAAGGGACGGGCCTTTACCAGACAGGGAGGTCTAACAAAAGACTGTCTCTTGGGAGTCCCCAAACTTGCAATGCAAAATTACTAGAGCGCCCCTTTAATGATATTTTATGAGACCGATTCATTCAAACTGTCCAACTTGCAGGGTGCACTAATGACATCATGACAAGTGACCACTCACCGGTATTTGCCTCGTTTGAAGTGGGAGTAGCCTCACAGTTTGTCTCCAAGCAAGGTATGATCACCATCTACGGCTCTTTATGTTATCCACTCCGAAATTATAGTTTGATATTGTATGTCACTGTTTACAAACTATTTCAGATCCAAACAGTGCACCTCAAGGCGGGATACAGATAATGAACTGTGTGGCTACCTTGTTGACAAAATCAAAGACCAAGTTCTTCATCGAATACCATTCCAGCTGCTTGGAGAGTAAGTTTCATTTGTATTATTGACTGTATCACATTGGATTCTATTGGATTCTGCTTTAAAATGTGCTGAGATGGTCGATACAAATATTTCTCTAAATGTCTACAGAAACAGTCAAGACTTCAGAGGGAGAGAACATAGAGCACCCAGAGGGGTCAATAAAAGTTCGGTTCAGCAACCAAGTTAAGGTAAAGTGAGGAAGAAGCTTTCAGTGTAGAACTTGACTTGTTGGGCAGGCAATCATCATTTGTTGTCTTTTCTGTCTTCTCCAGCTCATCCCTATCATCTCTGACCCTGAGTACCTTTTGGACCAGCACATCCTCATCTGCGTGAAGTCGACAGACTGCGACGAATCATACGGTAATGAGCTTGCATGTCGTTTGTAATTCAGATGCATTGAGCTGAGCAGTACTTACAGTTTGCTGGTGTCTTACTACCAAAGGAGAGGGTTGTGTTGCGCTGCGAGCTGCCCAGTTCTGCCACACGGAGTTTCATATCACACTGACTCACCACGGAGAGAAGACAGGCACCCTGACGGGCGGCATCCAGCTAGACACCTCAGAGGGCAAGCCCACTGAGAAGTTATATGGTGAGTTTGGAAATCAGTTCAGGACTTACTTATTAAAAGCTTTCTACTTCAGTTCTTTTAGCATCACTTCCTGTTTTACTCTGTTTTCAGATTTCATCAAAATTGAAAGAGATGACACTGTCACAACAAAAGGCAAAGGCGCTGACCTAAACAAGTAAGATATTTTTTCACTTGTAGTTACTTAAAAACATCTCAAACGTCACTTCTCTGGTGTGATATTTTGCTGTGTTCTGGTTAACAGGTTTTCCATCACCCAAGCTCATGATATCTCCAACCCCAATTACATGGGAGTGTCCTTCCAAAGGGGCAATGTGATAGATAAAGGTTGGAGTTACAGCATGCCACCAAAAAATATTCCAACTGCTGGGCAAGGGAGTAAAGAATCCAAGAAAGGTGGTTATGATGTGGGAACACGCAGTCCCACAGGAAAATCTTCAAATCCTATGTAAGTGCCTGCTTCTGGTGCAATGTGACTCTATACGTATCATTGAAACTGTTCAAACTCAGTAAATAACATAACTTTAACAGCTTATATGATTCAGCAGAAAGTGAAAAAGAAGCTTTACAGACTGATCCCTTCTTTCCTAGGGGTGAGGGCGAAAAGGTGTCAGAGATGTTTGACAATCCGTTATACGGTTCAATGGGAAAAACACATGGTTGGGGCAAGGACCAAGACCATCAGCAAAAGGACCACCCTCCACCACAGGGTGCGTACAAAGTCTCGTAAAATTTGTTTGTAAAATGCTTAATTCGAACCGTTATGTGTGCAATTTGAATATTCTCCTTTAAAAATGCCTCAACCTAATCTGGTGGTTCATCAACACAATCTCTCATGTAGACCTAGTCTTTTTATATTTGAAATGAAACAATCTCGTATTCATATTTGTTTGTCATCTCCTGGCGTGTTCACTTGATTGATAGCTAGAAAAATCCTCTGTTGATCTCTCACTCTGTAAATTAGCAGGGATTAAATAATGATAATCAAGTTCCTATGAACCGAGACCAATGCGATACACATTTTGATGCATTGCCAACAATCCCATACATTAAAGATACATATGAAGCAACTACCAATGCCATATGATACGATTCATGCAGTGCAATTAGACACGATTTGATTCAACGCGAAATGATGTGATGCGAAGGAATATGATGCTAAGCAGTTCAGTATGGTGCAGATAGTTTGATTTTATTCCTTTGGGTCCTCTTAAGCAGCATGTGAAACAGTTCAGAGAGGAGGAATCAATCTAAATATAAAATTATTAGTCACATTTCTAATTAATAAGGCACAGGGCCTCCACTAATAAAGATGTTAGAAAGGATGCCTTCGCAGTTCATCCCAAATTGTATCCGATGCACACTTTTCTAATTGGGGCAATTGCATCTTGAGCTCTTATGTCGATGCACCAATGTGACAGTTAGGTAACAATTCAGCTGTGATGATAAAGGCTTCCAGTTTGGAATTTTTTGGTTTAGATACCTTGAAAAGTGCTTGAATCGTACTCTGTATGAACCCTGACACCAGTTACTATCTTTACAACCTTCAAAGCAGCAGACGGAGACGCTGATCGCCCCCCATTGCCCACTCCACGCAACCGCTCCTACACCTGCTCCGAGACCAAACCTCAGCCTCCTACCCCCATCGCCATGTATCCCTCAACGCACAAGAAACCAGTGGTACCCTCGCGCTCGGAAGGCGGGGTGGCCCTTAACCGACCTCCTTTACCTTCCAAGTCGCGGCCGGGTGTGCCAGAGCCCCAGACCACCAAACCCAGAGACTACAGAGACAGCTCTGAACTCCCCAGCAAACAGAGACCGCCAGCAAGACCTGGCCAGCCTCTGCCTCACAAAGACAGTAAGGAAAAGTCCTGCTCCTCTCATGGCAAGACTTATTAAATTATTATACATATGATAATGCAAACTCTGTCTTTTTTCAGTGGGCCGTTCTGTGAAGTGAGACCAGGCTGCAATGATGGTCAGCACTGACTGTACAGCTTCCTGCTCTGCATTTTTGGAAAGATAATAGAAAGAAATTCCTTCAGCCAGTCACTTGTCTGTGTGCTTTACCACGCTACAGCCAGTTATCATAGCTTAGCAGAAAGACTGGGAAAGAGCTAAGCTAACTGTTTCCTGCCTGTAGCTACATATAATCTTCATCATCTAATTCTCTGCAAGCAAGCAAAAAAGTGTATTTTACAAAATGTCAAACTTTTCATAACTTCAGACTTCTGCTAAGCTTGCATTACAAAGTAGGTTTGAAATTAAACTCTTATAAATAATTATGTTATATTCTGTTTTACACTATACATTAGCTGATGAATGTTTTCACCGCACAGTATTATCTTGCACGGATATTGTCATGTTTATCTTGAAGGTGTACAATAAATGCTCAAATAAATTTAAATATCAGCTTGATTAGACTTTGTTATTTCAGATTATTGTGACAATCATTACCTGTGAAACTGTAAATAAAAAGTCTGCAGTAGAGACCTAGTACTCCAATCATTTGCTTCCATCTGCTGTTGCCTAAAAGAACTGCATACAGGGTGAGATACAGTATATATATATTATAATATTTTAACTATATATATATATATATATATATATATAGTTATAATATTTAAATCATAGAGGACATTCTACTTGATGGTATTGGAAAATTATATAGTCATCAAACTCACATTTTCTTGTTAATTTTCAGATGTAAGTAAAGCTGAGCGGCACTTTGCTTTCATAGATTACATAATGGTTCCTTCTCCCTTTAAACTGAATGAAATTACTATGACTTTTTTTTTTACTATGTGTTATTCCCTTATCATTGGTAGTCCTGTCAAGCCCTGTCAGGGGGACTAAGGAGGTCTCTCTGTTCCCAGACAGATATCGTCTAGTACAGTGGTTCCCAACCTGGGGGTCAGGACCCTTCAAGGGGTAAAAAGGTAATCGACAAAATGTAGTAAATCTTTTTCAGACATCCCTCCAAACTCTACCTTATGAATTACTGAATCATTTTACCTCTTTAATCTATTAGCAGAAATAGAATATAGTGTTCATATGTTTTCATTAGTATTCAGTGTGTAATCACCTAAAAATAAGAATCTTGTTTTTGTTACTACAAAGGGAATGGGTCCATGGTGGTCCATGTTAAACTGTCATGTTCCTACAGTAGCCCAGAACGGACAAACCAAACAAAGACCTTTGGCTTTTTTAATGACCACATGACTGGAAGGCTGAGCTGTACAATGATAGAAAGATGCCACTAAATCCTACACTCTGGTCCTTTAAGGTCTATAAAAATGACTTAAACATATGTAAACATTGACGATGGGTCGCAAGTAGGCATATACATTGCCTCATTTTAAGGGGTCTTTCAGGGGTGACAGAAATATATGCTGATTCAATTGCAAACCATCACATATATCGATATTTGCTTGGAAAAGCCACTAAATAAAGATTATTGTAACATATTACCATTACTTACCCCCTTGTATAAATTCTAAACTGTAAATTATAGATATTTTATAAAGTTGTTTTATTTATTTGGTATGTATGTATTCTCTTTTTTGTTTGTCTTTTCATTTCTTAGTGTTCTATTAGTGTACTATTAAGATTTTGTCTGTTATTCACCTTATTGTCTCCCTTTTTCTAAAAGACAATAAAGTAATGTTAAAAAAATTACATTTCTCTGGCACATTATTAAGTTTCATTAAACTTAAGCCTATAAACAAGTCTATACCAGATAATTAAATTATATGTGTTAATATCAATTTTAATGCCTTTTTTTATTATTCTAAATTAATGTGTTAAATTTGACAGACTTTTACATCAAACATGGCCTTTTTCAGGCAGCTTTGCACATTGTTCATCAGTCTGCCAACCCAGAAACTTGCTGACGAGCCCAGCAGGTCTGAAAAACACTTTAGAACAAAGTTTATCGCACAAGACCAACAGATAAACAGCTGGAGTCATCCCGCGGACTCTGTGAGACACTATATCAGAGGCTTTACCTCCCAGTGATGCTGCAATGCTTTATGGTCACACCGTTCACTTAACGAGCTACAATAAACCTTCCTCAGGTACTAAGTTCAACGTGGAGACACTGAGCGCGCCGCTGGCTCCCCCGTGTGGAGCTGCTCGGTAATTGCACCCTGGTCCGTCGCAGCGATATCACGCGGTGTGATACATCATCAACACCAGACGCGCTACCACAAGAAACCAGCAGCAATAATGGTAAGAAATCAATGTGAATGTGTGAATTCAGCCAGCAGGTAACGCCACAGTGACTCAGGTGGAGACTCAGCGAGGTGTTGAACGGCTCGCTGTGTCGCTGTGTGTGCTTTAGCTCGCTCGCTATCTGCAGTAATGCTCCACATGTAGCATGCTGCTAACGTTAGCGTTACCATGTCGTTGTGTCTTTCAGCTTTTCTACTCGTTTTTCAAGTCTCTGGTGGGGAAGGATGTGGTGGTGGAGCTCAAAAACGACTTGAGGTTGGTTTTTGTCTTTTTTTCGGTTAAGCTGAATAAATGGGTAATGTGATGTTTAATTTAGCCTCCATTGTTTAGTAATGCTAGTCAGTAGAGTGCTGTGTGTAGTGAATGATAGCGGCCACTGAAGCTCTAATGCTCCAGCTGCAGCTCTGGATCAATGTTGTATGAGGCAAGGGAAAGTCACAAAGCTGTAAACACGCGTTTAGTCATGTAGAAACAGCTTATAATTAAATTAAATGCAATATAATAGAAGGGCGACATTATATAAATGAATGATGAACTCCTCTCTGTTGTAGACTCAAATAACTGAACATTATAAGCTTCATTTAATGCAGTGGTGTTGTTGTGGATTGTAATATAGAGCAAGGTGTTATTGTACTACCTGTGTGTCCAGGTGACCTAATGGTGGGATGACCATAACTGCCTGTAATCATTTTTAACATGTCTCTTTTCAGCATCTGTGGAACTCTTCATTCTGTCGACCAGGTTGGAAAGAGTCGTTTATTTTCCTTATTTAGAAACAAAGTCATTCAGCTTTTACATTTTCTTTCTAATGGTTTGACGTGACGTGTGTCTGTGTGTGTTTCAGTACCTGAACATTAAGCTCACAGACATCAGTGTCACTGATCCAGAGAAGTATCCACACATGGTAGGTTGAGCTGTCTCCGGCACCTTCTCTCTCAGTGCTGTCACCAGGTTCAGCTCTTATGACACGTCTAATGTTGTGTTTGAGGTTGAGGACCTCCCCCAAGCTCTTTTTAACATTGTTTAAATTTGAATATAAGTTGCCTTGATAGTGCTTATGATTCTGTAGTGATGACGTTAAAGAAGTGTGCTGCAGGCTGCTGTTTGGGCTCTCTGAGAGCCCAGTTTTACACACAACACAGTTAAAGACGATGGGTTTTGTGTATACACTCACATAAGTTCCCAGAGGGGCATTTAGGGGTCCATGGGAAACTTAAGACTCTCAGATCCCTCCTTCATGTTTGGAATATATAATCTGTAAAAAAGAAATATTTCACAATATACAAAAGGAATACACATTTGCTTTAAGCGTAGAAAAATATTGGACATACAAAACAATACATAAGACAATATTTCCTTATTTGGTTATTTCTATATGTTGCAACTTCATCAAATTTGTGAGCATTATGGGTTATAATAACATTATTATTATTATTATTATACCCCAGAAGAAAGTAAAGCCAATGTCACCAAAATACCCATGAAATTTGTATTAATTAATTTACGAAAATACAAACTCCATTGATAAGATATTATGGGACAGATTTTGTATCGCTTCAATCTCCAGCACTTTGATGATTGCCTTCAAACCCCGCAATGTCTTGTTTTAATTTGCTCCAGCTGTCTGTGAAAAACTGTTTCATCCGTGGATCTGTGGTCCGGTATGTTCAGCTACCTGCAGATGAAGTGGACACTCAGCTCCTGCAGGACGCTGCACGAAAAGAAGCAATGCAGCAGAAGCAGTGATTGACCTGCAGGATGGGGTTTAGTCTGGGGGAGGGGCGGGATTTTTGTGCCGGTGCATAATGAGTAGTTTAAGTTCTGAGTTAAGTTCATTTAAAGATTCAGTCTGTGCAGCTCTTGTAAAGAAGCAGTATTGGTCACTTTCCTGTACTTTGACAGAGAATTTAACTGCATTCCTGACTGAGTGATCAATACAACAGTAATTATTGGAAATGGTCTTCACCTCTTAGGCTGTGTAGGAGGCTTCATTTGATACTGTCTTTTGTTTTGTTTAAAAAAATAATAAAATAAAAATAGAACTACATGCAATTTTGAGCCCAGTAGAGGTAAAGATCTGTTGTAGTGTTTCTGTTGCATAATACAAGCACTGTTGCTTATCTTTCAAAATTTTGACTTTTGGATTTTTTTTATGCCACTTCAAAATAAAACTATTTTATTTATATTTTGATCATGTTATTGTCATTTGTAGGGATTTTTGCATAGTTTTTCTGTTAAGTCTTTCACCTGTTTTATATAAAACTGATTTTAGTTCTTTAGTCAAAATGAAGAAGCCCTGAGCCCTGAGCTGTGATCATGGAGGAAAGATATTTGTAAATGACTGTGTTTATGGGAAATAAAACAAAAAATCCCATGGCCTCATTATGTTAGAATACTGGACCAGTGAGTAGGATTCAGTAGCATCTAGCGACCAGATTGCAAGCAACTGAAGCCCCCTGACTCAACTAAGCACGAAGGAGAAACTGCGTTGGCTGCCAAAAAACGTGAAAGGT